TTCTTGGTTTTCTGAGTTTGAAAACTACTTAAAATCAATGATTATCTTCCCAATTCCGGCTTATTACTCTAGTTTCTGTCAAATCGGTAAAAATCGTCGTCTAAAAACTGAACCTGAAAGGAAGGATAACAGAACCCCATGTTTTTTAGCGGGGGCAACACAAAAATACAATTAAAATGCAATAAAATGAAGAGGATCCGATTTGCTCCTCATCAATACGCACTTCGCAACCCTCAAAGTTTGGCACCATGTTGACGGCAGGACCGCTCTTGTTCTTATTTCGGCAGTTTCTGTTGATTTTTGTGTCGCTGTCCGAGTGTAACGCAAGTCATGTTCTGAAAATAGAACTGTCTGCATTTTTCAGGGCCGGGCGAAGCCAGCAAAATCTTTGTCTCGGCACGTCCCATCCAGATAGAAACGGGCCAGCGAGTTTGAACAACAATCCGTGCCTGGTTCCTCGCAGATCTTTCTGAATCCTGTCCTTCGCACTAATACCACACACGAACAAAAAATAAAATAAACGAATTCTGCAATGTTCATAGCGTCGAATAAATATTCGCGACAGGATTACCTTTCACCTCGCCGAATCTTTCATTTTGCTCGAAGCTAACCAACTAACACACGCGATTGTATTTAACAACACATAGTATCTTCTTATCCCAAACTAGATGTCATCGGTTCCAGCCAAAATCCTAACAGTTCTTTTCGATAGGAAACTTCATGACATTTCTCAGCGGTTCTCTTCTCTCCATTTCAAAAATATTATACAAAATGGATAACTTGCATCTGATAGTAACCTCTGAAAAGCAAGATTACTGGTCCCCGGAGTTTTGCAGGGTCACGAGAAAAGTCGAATCAAAAGGAGTAGCTGGTAGCCCATCTTCAATAATATCTTAGCAACCAGAATCTTCTAAAATCATCCGCCAAGTGCCTTCCAAGTCAAATAAATCTATATGTGTGTCATGTCGGATTTATTTTCTATCCAGCCTGAAACAATGACTGACAACCGTAGCCATACTTACCGGAGATGCTTCATCATGTTTTCTGTTTTTTCCTTTATTAATAATCAACCTTCTGCTATTCAGCCACATTCATCGAGTTCTTCTGTTGCCTAGGCGGCCCGAGAAACGTAGCATGGAACCTTCTGGATATGTTGAAAGAGCATGTGTACACGAATTAGTTGATAATTGAGCATAGTTCCTCCATCTAACCACATATTCCGTCTTTGGTTGCTATGACATTATGCGAAACGTACCTTGTAATCTTCTGCTGCATTTTTCGAGCAACGAGAAATTTCGTATCATAATTTTTTCTTCCTCGCGGTAAGTTTGTCCTTCACAAAAATCATAGTTGCTCAACGATCATCCCTTGAAAAATAGACCCTGAACGGAATAATTGCGCGGCCCCGGGGCGTTTTTTGCGGGCTATAATGAATTAAATGAAACTTTCCTTGATGTCTTTGGTTGCTCCTAATAATTTAGATAATCACAGCCGTCAACATTTGACATATTTTGGACGACAGCGCCTTGAGTCAAATAAATCCTTCGATGCTTCTCTGTAATAAAGGGAGTTTCCGTCAAAACAGTTGACTGTCTCCCACATTTCCGACTGACTCTTCTGTGCGAACAGACAGGTTATCGTCCTTCTAAGCCTGACGTGATTTGTCTTTCATGTGCCAGAAAAGTTGAGCTCTGAAGTAATGATTCAATCTGAATGTTTCGTACCGTAAATATCGCATTTTTTCATTTACTTCCACTTGGGCCTTCTTCATATAATTACAGTAAGACGGAAGGAGAGCTTAGCCATCTCACTTCCGCGTACTAAAACAAAGTAGTCTTCATATTCGGGACTCAATAACTTCTTTTCCAGTAATAGTCGAAACAATTCTTGACGATAGCAATCTTTATGGAGTTGATCAGCACTCCTTTGTCTCCATTTTGAAAGTATTACACAAGAGTGATAACTTACTTCCATTAGTAAAACCTGAAAAGTAGGGTTACGGGACCCCGGGGGTTTCTTGCAGAGTCACAAGTAAGTAGAATCAAAAAAAGTAGCTTCCCTTCAATAAGATCTCTGCAGCCGACATCGGCTAACATTGTCCGACAATAGTCCTCCGGTTCAAATAGATATATAGTTTTCGTCGGAATATAAATACGGTCCGTGTTCTTTTATTTATTTGGAATTTCGTGAAATGTAGAGTTTTGCGACGAGAACATGGGGACGCTGGCGCCGGTCGATTGAGCCGGGGCTGGAAAAAAACATTTTCTTTGAAATCAATACGAGTTTACCTCAGAGCAAACGGCTCGTGTTCACTGGAATGGCTTCGATAGGCGGAGAACGACGTTTCGCCTGAAAATTTCAATTTTCGACGGCAACAAACGACTTTTCTGACCTCGAGGACCTCTCCCTTTGCGATGGTGCGCATTGAGTTATCCATTATGCGGTTTCAAACCTGAAAACACAGAAATTATCAAGAAAAACAATGAAAATTACAAAAAATGAGAGAAGACCGCACGCGGAACGTATGTTCGGCGATAGAGTGGCGAGAAGTGCGGGTATGAGAGAGAGATAGCGGGCGAGTGCGGTGGGGCGCACTTGCATTATACTTGCGCGCAATTTTTCGGCGTTCCCGCTCGTACACAAGCGTTTAAATTAGACAAAATTGCAGTGGTCTAGAGCGGAGCGAGACGGCAAACACCGAGTTTTAGCGAAAACATAGTTCGAGCTTTCTGACCAAATTTCCATATATTTCCAGATCAGATAGTCCAATAGATAGTGATAATTATGAGAAGTTATGCAAATAGTCATTGATAGGAATATCTTAAGAGTTACTTATAAAGTAATTATGCGTCATTTAGGTCTGATGTCAGATCTGACGGACACATTCGACAAGGCCAAAAGCAGCGTAGCCTCCGCATGCACCACCGTCAAAAATGTGATGAATCTTTGGAGAACCTAACTGCCAGTTGTCTATGTATCTACCCAAACGCTTTTTCTTTCAAATCGGACGCTGTAACTCTCAAAAGCTATTTTGATTTGATGTGCACACGATTCTCCGACATCTCTGTATATTCACCTCACCCATAGTCCAATTGGTCCCACAAATTTTGGTTTTTCAACTCTTCTTTACATCTACGCTCTGACGTCTACATTCAAGTTATTTTTGTGCACTGCAAAAAACAAAACTGATCGTATTCGCCAGCAATTTATGCACTTCATTGTTTTTCCAATTTTTGTTGAAACAAATTTTTTGGTCGGAAAAGAATAAACCTTACTTCCTTGGAACACTTCGTGTAAGTGGGTTCAAGCTGTTTGACTTCAAACTACACGCGGACGAATCCAAGGCATTTGGATCGATCAGTTCGGGCAAAAGTGGACGACGTCGTTTTTGCAACAAACATTCCAGCTGTCTTTCTGCTGACAAAAAGCTTTCCAACAGGTGGCCCCAATCCGTGCCGGTCCAAAAAAGTTATTACTGGCTTTTCCAACAAATTTCACCTTGCACTTCCTGCCTTCTCGACTTCATTTCCAGATAAAGACACATCCTTTCTTCCTAAAAATCCCTCTACATCATCTACTTCGACTTCAAGAAAGCCTTTGACAAAGTAGATCATAGCCTCCAAGGGAAATACGACGAGAATTGTTGGCTGAGCGATGAAGAAGTTCGACTGACTTGTGATAAGTTTCACATTCTATGTATTCCGCCTGTAACATTTATAAATAATTTCTTTTCAGTGTGGGATTAATCAATCTCAACCATCCTTTCAATTTGTCTATCTTCGCTACCCGGTGCTTCTGATTTATTTGTCATGCTAACAACAACTGAAAGCGCAGTGAGTCGGAAAACGTAATGTGATCTTTATGGAACGTTTTTTGAGAACCTGATGTACCGGTCAGAAAAGTAGCATTCGAGCACAACAAATTTCCTTCATGAAAGTATGTATGAAGCGTGAAGTTATTAGAGGAAGGAAGTAAAAGAACTGGAGCGAGGGCTCGGTGATGAGAGCTGAATAATGAGCTATTCATGTGGAAAATGAGGTATGACGATTGAATAACATTAATGAGTAATTGGATACCAAACAACTATACATCGGAACGTGGAAAATTTTTTATCGGCGTTGAAATATGGAGTTTTTAAATAAAACGCTCATTCAAGAGTAACAAGTGAGAAGAATCCGATAGACTGATTGTGGTGCCATCTAATAGAAGGACTTCTCATCATTTCTCGGCCCAGTCGTCCTTCTTTTCGTTTCCTTCCTTGATTGTCTCGGTCGGCTTCGAGTCGTCCTGAATCGGGGAATATCAGCGAAGAGAGCTATTGTAGGAGAACTGGTGACTATTGGACATTCCGCTTTCTTTTTATACCGATAATATCTTGTTTTAAATTCAATGGACAAGGGAAGGTTGTGGAACCGGCGGAGAGAAGCGAGCTCATGAGAGATTTCAAGGATCCGCAAAAAGGTTCGAAAATATTGCCGATATACAGTACTGGCCAAAAAGGTATTCGCAAACGGTTTTTTGAGCATAACTTTGCTGAAACTTGAGGGATCGATCTGATATTTTAAGACAAAGTTTAAAACGGTAAAAGCCGTTGATTCAACAACAAGAATAGTCAATATTTCGAAAATTTAAAAAAAAATCGAAAAATTCATGAAAATGGTAAAAAACCGGAAAATGTAACTTGAAAAACGAAAAAATTGAAAAAAATTTTTTTTTTTTGAAAATGATGCAATTTCCTTGTACGCAATTTGTCGTCACCGTGTACGACATGTACAGTAAAATTTTCAAATCGATCCCTCAAGTTTCAGCAAAGTTATGCTCAAAAAACCGTTTGCGAATACCTTTTTGGCCAGTACTGTACTTTGCGAATAAGGCCAAAAATACCCGTTCCACGCCGAGAGATGTTGTCCGGTAAGAAAACGTTTTAAGAAGCAGTTTCATTGTCACTCATTTTAGTTTCAGAATTCCGGCGGTGGCCCTCAGTACTCACATTGGTTCCATTACAGGCCATAGTCCTGTCGGGTACACATACACAATGTGTTTCGGAATCGATTTATCAATATATATCCGAATTTGGTGTAATTAGTCTGTTGGAACACGAACGACTGGCCAATAGCTAAAAATCAGTTCGAAAGTACCGTAACTCTTTCTTCAACTTACAAAGCACATGATTGTACTCCTGAATCCTTTGGAGTACGCTCAAAACGCCTTCATAAATGCTCGAACATCCGCTGATACTGTTCATTTGACTTATGCCTTTATCATCTGAACTTAACTGTTTCAAAATCGTGATTTTTTGGAATTTTGAGCCACCAAGGTACATTTTCCGTTTTGTATCAGCTAGCTTCTATTCAAAAAACAGTTTTCTGAGAAAACATCTAAAAAAATCGATTTGTTTCCAAAAATTTTCCAGAAACTTTTGGACCCGAGTTAATAACGTGGTTCTGAAGATTGAACACCCACTTCAGTTCTTTCGTATCACTTTGTTTATTGCAAAAACAAAACAACAAAATGCTTTTAGCACAAATTACTACGGAGGAAGCGTTTGTAATATTCAGAGTGCATTCCATTTGAAGAAATTGGAAGCTGATGATGAGATCAAATGCCAATATGATCAGGAACTATAATCCTTGGAATCAGAGTCAAGTTTTAGATATCGCAATCCTTGAACAATCCTGCCAAATAACAATAAACTTTAAAAGGATATCTGTAGTTTTCGATGAGTCACTTTTCAGATCTTTGCCATCAAGCTTCTGAGATTTTGTGGTATAGGGCACAAAATTACTGATGTGGAAATGTTGTGTCAATTAACAGAAGAAAAACAAAGGTTTTCAAACCCTTTGTTTTTCTCTTCTGCTTCAACAACTCTGAATAATTGTTTATCACCTGTTATTATCGGAGTAGGAAGTGAAAATCTCCTCGGAAACGTTCACGATGTTTCAGAGTAGAGTTTCAGAGTTCGTTGACGAAAATGAGAGAAAAAACGACGAAATGGAAGAAATCAATAATCTGACACGAGAGCGACAAGACAATAATCAATAAACTTGGCTGGGCAAATGGCCGGTCCGGGTTTTTTGACGGCCGCCTTGGCCTGGACTATTAGACCACTTGCTATTTTCCGATTGAATTCAAACTTTGCAGACTTTTTGGACTTATCTTGGTACACCGATGAATGGGTTTGCGTTTTGGTTTTGCGAAAACCCCCGACTATTCGGCCCCAAATCACTTTATCTCCAGATCAGGATATCCGATATCGAGTTGACACTTTCCAATATACTTATGATATCATGACGTATTGTTTACCGCTATCAATCCCGTGATATTGAAATTAGGGGAGCCACGCCCAAGTTTGGCACAAAATGGGCGTGGTTTCCTGGTATATAAACATAGCTCCGAGCTCAGTCAATGTCGATTCATCATGCTCTGCCTCTCCAAAAGAGTTATCATCTTTCTGGCTATCGCAGCCCATTCTGCTACTGTTCACAAAGTAAGCCATCCAATGTCAATTTCAGTAATGAGTAATGTATTTCAGCATCATCATCACAAGCCACACGGACTCATAACGGAGACTATGCTTAATTTCGAGCAACGGCCGGAGGATTCAAAGGTGGTCGCAGGAGAGCGGCTCACCCTCTCCTGTGGGCTCACCGGGACCCCCACTGGACACATTCACTGGACGAAGGACGGAATCAAAATTCAAGGAGGATCGACAGAGCGACTCGATTCGAAGCCCAACGAGGATCGTTTGGTCAGCGAGAGTGGGATCACCAAGTCCGTTTTTGTGGTGAACTGTGCCGGCGAAGACGATGCAGGCACATACGAGTGCCACGGAGCGAACGGAGTCACGGAAATACGGAGCAGCGCCAAGGTTACTATCGGTAAGCAGAAGAAAACCAGAGACAACTTTTCATGAATTTTTTTCAGTATCGTCGGAATCGGAATCAGAATCAGACAACTGCAACTCTGCCTCTACTTACCCGCCGACCATCACCGAGTGGACTATGATCCGTCTGGAGAGAATCGGCAACTTCGCGCATTTGCAATGCCGCACGGACCAGCCGGCCAAATTCTCCTGGACGTTCGGAGGAAACCTCATCGACACGGCGGACGGACACTTCACTCTGCTGGAGAACGGAGATCTGCTGGTCAAGGACCTCGTGGTGGCAAACCAGGGCATCTATGAATGCACCGCGTTCAATGGGAACGGAGAGTCTACTCAAGAAGTCGTACTGATCACCACAAGACCCGAAATTCAATAATTCATCAATGATCTGTTGTTAATAAATATTATGCTATAGTTCGGTTTTTGTTTTAAAACAATTAAGATAACATGATGCTTCTGATCATCAGTCTTCTTCACATCGCCTTTCCGATTTGTCCTTCTTTGTAATGTGAGATGATGACATACTATTTTTATTTTCGAGTTTATGTAGATTATTCAGTAACCGCGCATTTAGAAAAAGCTATTAGAAAAATATCATGGCGAATGCTTCAATCTTCCGCTTCATAACACAAACGCAACATTTCAACTTTAGTATGCAAAAACGACAAATTCACTCTCGCTGCGGCAACGTCTCGCTGCGGCAACTGCGGCAACCCCCATAGCAACGAGAGATTGGACCCCATGTTCTGTTTTCAGATGCCATAACTCGGCTGAAACACGATTGTTAAAGAAAAATCTTGAAATGCAGGTCAGTACTACATCAAAGAAAATGAGGACGAAGTTTTGAATCATAAAGTCGGAAGCTAGGGTTATTCTTTGCGTAAAGAAGTTTCAAGACGTTGTAAGAATGTCATATTTTGAGCTAAAGGCTTCAAACTTCGTACCTGTCTTGATAAATGTATTGACAAAACAGATCTCCCTATTTTTCCAGAATGGTTCAGTTTCATCCAAGTTATGCTATTAAAAACTCGGAGAACACTTGTTGAGAGCTGACTTCTTGCATAGCAATAACGTCAGAGGGAGGAAGAAAGAGAGAGAGTTGACTTCTTGCATAGCAATAATGTCAGAGGGTGGGAGGAAGAGAGAGAGCTGACTTCTTGCATAGCAATAACGTCAGAGGGAGGAAGAAAGAGCTCCCCATGGGTAGAAATGAAAAAAAAAACGAGACGGCAATAAATAAAATGACAATTTCTGCCTTTATATACCCCTGTGGGCGTGGCCATTCTAATTAGGGGGCGTGGCTCTTTTGTCGGCATTCTTATCACTAATCTCCGGCTTTAATCAAGATGGTGTGGGAATGTGAGCTTCAAGCGGATTTTCGGCAAGTTCAAAGAAGCCGACTTAATTACAGACGGAGATTAGTGATTAGGACGCCTACAAAGGACTCCGATGGGAAAGATATGGAAAGAAAAATTTCGCGCAAGTATAATGCAAGTGCGCCCCACCGCACTGGCCCGCTATCTCTCTCTCATACCCGCACTTCTCGCCACTCTATCGGCGAACATACGTGCCGCGTGCGGTCTTCTCTCATTTCTTGTAATTTTCAGTGTTTTACTTGATATTTTCTGTGTTTTCAGGTTGAAAACCGCATAATAGATTACTCAACGCGCACCATCGGGAAGGGAGAGGTCCTTCAATTCGATCCGTCGCTCCGAGGTCAGAAAAATTGTTTGTTGCCGTCGAAAATTGAAATTTTTAGGCGAAACGTCGGTCTCCGCCTATCGAAGCCATTCCAGTGAACACGAGCCGTTTGCTCTGAGGTAAACTCGTATCGACTTCAGAGAAAATGTTTTTTTCCAGCCCCGGCTCAATCGACCGGCGCCAGCGTCCCCATGTTCTCGTCGCAAAACTCTACATTTCACGAAATTCCAAATAAATAAAAGAACACGGACCGTATTTATATTCCGACAAAAACTATGTATCTATTTGAACCGGAGGACTATTGTTGGACGATGTTAGCCGATGTCGGCTGCTAAGATCTTATTGAAGGGAAGCTACCTGTTTTAATTCTACTTACTTGTGACTCTGCAAGAAACCCCCGGGGTCCCGTAATCCTACTTTTCAGGTTTTACTAACAGAAGTAAGTTATCACTCTTGTGTAATACTTTCAAAATGGAGACAAAGGAGTGCTGATCAACCCTATAAAGATTGCTATCGTCAAGAATTGTTTCGACTATTACTGGAAAAGAAGGCTGCAACTGTTTTGACGGAAACACCCTTTATTACAGAGAAGCATCGAAGGATTTAAATAACTCAAGGCGCTATCGTCCGAAATCTGTCAAATGTTGACGGCTGCGATTATCTAAATTATTAGGAGCAATCAAAGACATCACGGATAGTTTTATTTAATTCATTGTAGCCCGCAAAAAACGCCCCGGGGCCGCGCAATTATTCCGTTCAGAGTCTATTTTTCAACAGATCATCGCTGAGACACTACGATTTTTGTGAAGGACAATGAAACTTGATGCGAGGAAGAAAAATTATGATACGAAGAGTGAGAATTTCTCGTTGCTAGAAAAATGCAGCAGAAGATTACACGGCACGTTTCGCATAATGTCATAGCAACCAAAGACGGAATATATGGTTAGATGGAAGAACTAAGCTCAATTATCAACTAATTCGTGCACATATGCTCTTTGAACATATCCAGAAGGTTCCATGGTACGTTTCTCGGGCCGCCTAGGCGGCGGAAGAACTCGATGGATATGGCTGAATAGAAGAAGGTTGATTATTAATAAAGGGAAAAAACAGAAAACATGATGAAGCATCTCCGGTGAGTATGGCTACTGTTGTCAGTCATTGTTTCAGGCAGGATAGAAAATAATTCCGACATGACACACATATAGATTTATTTGACTTGGAAGACACTTGTCGGATCATTTTAGGAGATGTCGGTTGCTAAGATACTATTGAAGATGGGCTACCAGCTACTCCTTTTGATTCGACTTTTCTCGTGACCCTGGAAAACTCCGGGGACCACTAATCCTGCTTTTCAGAGGTTACTTATCCATTTTGTATAATATTTTCGAAATGGAGAGAAGAGGACCGCTGAGAAATGTCATGAAGTTTCCTACCGAAAAGAACTGTTTGGATTTTGGCTGGAACCGATGGCATCGAGTTTGGGATAAGAAAATACTATGTGTTGTTGAATATAATCGCGTGTGTTAGTTGGTTGGCTTCGAGCACTGCCGAAAGAAGAACAAGTGCGGTCCTGTTCATGACTGTCAAAGAATTCTGGACGGCACATTGGCGGTGACAATTCTCTATCTCCGGAACCGTTTCTATGATGTATATTTCAGAGCAGGACGACAAAAGTTCACATTGTGTTGTGATCGGGAAGGACGCAATGAATAAAATGAAATGGAGTTCATGTTACTCTACGTTTCAAGCGACTGGCCACGTCTACAAATTTGCCAGAACCGAGAGTGAAAGATCCGGAAATTTAAGAGTTATCCATTATTTTTAAAACCAGCCAGTGATGGAACTTCTAGCATTTTATTGTAAGTTATCACTTCAACAAACCCGGTTAACTATTTGCCTTCAGGCGGGAGCAGCAGTAAGGGTTGGAAGGCTCAACTCAAGTGATAATCGTCGGGACATTGTCGGATATAGAAGAAACATGCGCATTGCACGGTTTGTCATTATAATTTCAGGAAACGTTGCAAGAAAACGTATGTTTCAGGACGATGCTGCCGAGACACAAGTAATAGTGCTAGTCGATGGAGATTATTCGACTTCCAGCCAACAATTGGACTTGTATCCGATGAATGTAAGTTCTCATAGACTTTAGCAAACGCATAAAGATGTTCTCATTTCAAGTACGCTCAGCAGTGGATATAGAAGGGGAACGCACAAAAGAGTCAGTCGGAAATATGGACGATAGTGAGGTAGGTCAGGAGTAGAAGTTGTTCTGACGGAAACACAATGTATTGCAGAGTGATACCGAAGGATTGATTCGACGAACAGCACAACCCACAGCACGGTGCCAAACTTTTAGGGTTGCGAAGAGCGTATTGATGAGGAGCAACCGACAATATCAAATATTCTTCATTTTATTGCATTTTAATTGTATTCTTCTGTTGCCCCCACTAAAAAATGGGAGTTCTGTTATCCTTCCTTTCAGGTTCAGTTTTTAGACGATGATTTTTACCGATTTGACAGAAACGAGAGTAATAAACCAGAATTGGGAGGATTATCAATGATTCTAGGTAATTTTCAAACTCAGAAAACCAAGAAAACTATCAGTTTCAGGCAGAAACAACGGTGTTCAATGGTTTTTATTTTTAAGGTCAACGAAAAACGGGACGGAACTACGGGAAACAAAGTGCAGGTGGGGTTTAGAAATATTTTCTTCTTCTGTCTCACTGTAATTATACGAAAAAGGCCCAAGTGGGAGTAAATGAAAATAATATGCGATATTTACGGTACGAAACATTCAGATTGAATCATTACTTCAGAGCTCAACTTGTCTGGTACATGAAAGACAAATCACGTCAGGCTTAGAAGGACGATAACCTGTCTGTTCGCACAGAAGAGTCAGTCGGAAATGTGGGAGACAGTCAACTGTTTTGACGGAAACTCCCTTTATTACAGAGAAGCATCGAAGGATTTATTTGACTCAAGGTGCTATAGTCCAAAATATATCAAATGTTGACGGCTGTGATTATCTAAATTATTAGGAGCAACCAAAGACATCACGGATAGTTTTATTTAATTCATTGTAGCCCGCAAAAAAACGCCCCCCAATTATTCCGTTCAGTGTCTATTTTTCAACAGATGATCGCTGAGAAACTACGATTTTTGTGAAGGACAATGAAACTTGATGCGAGGAAGAAAAATTATGATACGAAGAGTGAGAATTTCTCGTTGCTAGACAAATGCAGCAGAAGATTACAAGGTACGTTTCGCATAATGTCTATCGTAACCAAAGACGGAATGTATGGTTGGATGGAAGAATTATGGTCAATTATGAACTAATTCGTGTACATATGCTCTTTCAACATATCCAGAAGGCTCCAAGGTACATTTCTTGGACCGCCTAGGCAAACCAAAACGGAAGAACTCGATGGATATGGTTGAATGGAAGAAGGTTTGTTATTAATAATAATAAAAAAACAAAAAACATGAAGAAGCATCTCCGGTGAGTATGGCTACTGTTGTCAGTCATTGTTTCAGGCAGGATAGAAAATAATTCCGACATGACACACATATAGATTTATTTGACTTGGAAGACACTTGTCGGATCATTTTAGGAGATGTCGGTTGCTAAGATATTATTGAAGAGGGGCTACCAGCTACCCCTGTTGATTCTACTACTCTAGTGACCCTGAAAAACCCCGGTGACCAGTAATCCTGCTTTTCAGATATTAATATGAAAGGTAAGTTATCCATTTTGTATAAGCTTTCCGAAATGGAGAGAAGAGGACCGCTGAGAAAAGTAATGAAGTTGCCTATCGAAAAAACATTTATTGATTTTGGTTGAAACCGACAGCATCGAATTTGGGATAAGAAGATGCTATGCGTTGTTGAATACAATCGCGTGTGTTAGTTGATTCGCTTCGAGCAAAATGAAAGACTCGGCTAGGTGAGAGATACTCCCGTTGCGAGTATTTATTCGACGATAGTAACATTGCAGAATTAGATTACGGGACTATTCGTGTTTATTAGTGCGATGGACAGCTGTCAGAGGATTCAAAACAATCTGCGAGGAACCAGACACGGTATGAAATGATGGCTTCGCCAAACGATGAATCGTCCTCGTCCTCCTGGTTGCTCGCCGTGTGCTTGAGGTACAATGCTGTTCCCGTACGATTATTTTGTTGGCCAAAGTCACCGTAAAAGCGTGAAGGCATTCGAAATTCATTGTTCTTTTACTACTTGTATGCACTAAAGCCTGTATATACTGAAAAATAGTGGACAGGGTATTGATAAGAGATTTCAGGCGACTTTTACGGAACATACCGCTTTATTCAATCGGAAGGATCTACTTGTTCAAGTCGCTTACACAGAGGTGAGTGTGCCTTTCCGGTAGGTCACAAGACGATTTGTTACCCGTGCTGTTGCCCAAATTTCACCGTAAAAGCGTGATGGCATTTTGAAGTTTATGGTTTCGTTTTACTGCGTATACATATGCTAAAGCATGTGCATTGCACGGTTTGTCAATATAATTTCAGGAAACGTTGCAAGAAAACGTATTTTCAGGACGATGCTGCCGAGACACAAGTTATAGTGTCTGTCGATGGAGATTATTCGACTTCCAGCCAACAATTGGACTTGTATCCGATGAATGTAAGTTCTCATAGACTTTAGCAAACGCATAAAGATGTTCTGATTTCAAGTACGCTCAGCAGTGGATATAGAAGGGGAATCATGTGTGTTCGCACAAAAGAGTCAGTCGGAAAGATGGACGATAGTGAGGTAGGTCAGGAGTTGAAGTTGTTCTGACGGAAACACAATGTATTGCAGAGTGATACCGAAGGATTGATTCGACGAACAGCACAACCCACAGCACGGTGCCAAACTTTGAGGGTTGCGAAGTGCGCATTGATGAGGAGCAACCGACAATATCAAATATTCTTCATTTTATTGCATTTTAATTGTATTTTTGTGTTGCCCCCGCTAAAAAACATGGGGTTCTGTTATCCTTCCTTTCAGGTTCAGTTTTTAGACGACGATTTTTACCGATTTGACAGAAACTAGAGTAATAAGCCGGAATTGGTAAGATTATCAATGATTCTAAGTAATTTTCAAATTCAGAAAACCAAGGAAACTATCAGTTTCAGGCGAAAACAGCGGTGTTCAATGGTTTGTAGTTTGAAGGTCAACGAAAAAAAAATTTCGAAATGGAGAGAAGAGGACCGGTGAGAAATGTCATGAAGTTTCCTATCGAAAAGAACTGTTTGGATTTTGGCTGGAACTGATGGCATCGAGTTTGGGATAAGAACATACAATGTGTTGTTGAATATAATCGCGTGTGTTAGTTGGTTCGCTTCAAGCAAAATGAAAGATTCGGCGAGGTGAAAGGTAATCCTGTCACTAATATTTATTCGACGATATTAAAATTGCAGAATTCGATTATTTTACTGTTCGTGTGTATTAGTGCGAAGGACAGGATTCAAAAAGTACTGCGAGGAACCAGACACGGATTGTTGTTCAAACTCGCTGGCCCGTTTCTATCTGGATAGGATGTGCCGAGACAAAGATTATGATGGCCCGCCCGGCCCAGCAAAATGCAGACAGTTCTATTTTCAGAACATGACTAGAGTTTCACTCGGTCAGCGACACGAAAATCACTGGGACAGCACAACCGTCAACACGGTGCCAAACTTTGAGGGTTGCGAAGAGCGTATTGATGAGGAGCAAATCGGATCCTCTTCATTTTATTGCATTTTAATTGTATTTTTGTGTTGCCCCCGCTAAAAAACATGGGGTTCTGTTATCCTTCCTTTCAGGTTCAGTTTTTAGACGACGATTTTTACCGATTTGACAGAAACTAGAGTAATAAGCCGGAATTGGGAAGATTATCAATGATTTTAAGTAGTTTTCAAACTCAGAAAGCCAAGAAAACTATCAGTTTCAGGCAGAAACAGCGGTGTTCAAAGGTTTTTAGTTGGAAGGTCAACGAAAAACGGGACGGAACTTTGGGAAACAAATTGCAGGTAGGGTTTGGAAATATTAGAATGAATAAGAGTGTCACGGTAATAAACTTAGATTTTTTGTTTTCGGGGAGGAGGCAAAGCTCCCGGTTCATAACAGAGAGTTATCTGTCGATCTTCAGACTAGAGTGCAACTCGCTCTAGTGCTGATCTCTAATCAATTCTCGATAAAAGAGACACGGTGACCGACGGAATAGGATATTGCAAACGACGTAAACCACAAAAGAAGCGAATATGCCGTTCAATTTTTAAGAGATGCTCTTACCAGTTTTCGAAATGATCTTACGTTTTCATGGACCGACAAATTTTCCTGAATTTTTTAAAGACAATTTTCAAAAACCGGGAAAACCTTGCTCGCGGCCCTGAGCTGAGAACAACGTTAGCACAGTTTAACATTATCGAACACGTTAACTGAGATGTTGTTTATGTTGACTACTTAAAAACATTGATGAAAAGTGATCCGCTTATCACCAGATGCAACATTTGAGGTCACTGAATGTAAGAATAGGTCCAGTGATCCATTAGTTTCATGTGGTGGTGCGTTGAAGACAAAACCGACCGACAAGGTGCCCACGGATGCGGAGTAAGCTTCCCCGTTGATTCGCCATCTCTCCACCGATTATGAGCAACGATTAAAAGCGATGAAAGATCAGGCTGCTAGGCATGTATATCATATTCAATCCTCAAATTTCCATGTTTTTAGGCAAGAGGAAGAGGAAGAACGGAAATTCCAAGAAAAGTGTCAGCAGAGAAGAGAAGCAAGAACGAAAAAGAATGAGGAGAGCAGGAGAGAGCAGCAGAGGATTCAGGAAGAGCAGGATGAAAAACGGAGGAAACTGAACGAGCAGCAGAAGATTTTCGATAAGAAGAGAGAGAAAAAGACGCGAATTGGATGAACACATTAAAAAAGTGGAAGCGGTAAGGATTGTTTTGGTTGCCTAATGCCAAGCATCTTCATTTTCAGGAGAACAAGAGAGAAATCGAAGAAATGAACAGGAAAAGTGCCGTGGAAAAAATGTGGTTTGAAACTGAGCAGGCATTGTAAGAATGAAAATTATCAAGTTTGGGAGAAAAAAACAAATATACAGAAGAAGAGAACGTTTCGTACTCAAGCTTTTATTCAGTTCACAAGTACTTTTGAAATGAGATGAGATCCAACATTAATAGAGGTCTTATACGTATTTATTGGACGCACTGTATTCATATTTATGTATGCTGCCCTCCCATTGAATCGGGGGAGGGGGCCCGTTTGACGCGAGCCTGGTTTTTGTCGGACCATAGAAAGGAGTAAGAGAAAAAGGGCCGCGTTTGGAACACTAAGTTACGCAACCCCACAATCCGTTTAGTTTCGCAACAATAGATCTCCATTCAACTGGTACTAATGACGTCATTCCCACTTCCCCAATTGGCTGATCTGGCCCTCCAGAACATCTTCGATCAAATGGAACCATGTGAAATGTAAGTTTTTTTTCAATACATTCAGAGAAGTTTAGGACCATAGTCGGAGTTAACGAGTTGTCTGGAAAGAAGATAGTATACCCATTTTTGTTACGCAAACCATATGAATACGGTTATCTCTAAAACTGGAAATGTTCAGTAGGACGAGAATGATGAAAGTAATAAAAAAACTCACACATATATTGTGTTTCTAATCGTATTTTTCTGTTTTTCAGTGTTTGGCTCTCCCTCACTTCAAGCAAAATTGGCAACTACATGCGTCAAGCGTATCCACACTGCGCAAGTTTGCATCTAAATTATTATGCCAACTCTTGCAACATATGGATTGAAGCGTGTCCTGGACAGGAAAGACGATTACACCTTTGGACTATCGTGAACGGCAAAAACGAGGAACTTCCCGAAGTCAAACTGAACGTGAACGGTACTCCTTTTACCGTGAACATGAGTTTTGCTCCGAGTGGGAAGCAATACGGAGTCTACGATATGTACTGCGACAACTACAAACCGTTCATTATTCAATTTCTTCGACATTTGACGAAATTGTTCAATGTTCCACTATTTGTCCGCTTCCATTCTGAGGTTGTCGCAAATGTGGATGACTTTGTGGCACTTCCTGAAGTGCAAACATGCAAAAAATTTGACATCATCCTCGATCGATTCGCGGATGCTGACTTGTCGGGTCTTTGGGCGATGTTCAGTAAAAATGAACTGACTGTGTCCGAAGAATACCGAGATGACAGGCGCATACACAAAACTGAGTCTAGCCTGCACATCCACCCAGCTCCGTGGCTCACCCGGGACCACTTTCTGGGGTTGAATTCGGAAGAGATTGTGATATCCGGTTCATCATTGAAGAGCAATGATATCCGTGATTTCATTGCTCAATGGCAACGTGGGGACTGTGCCGATGTGCGGTTCCTGTGCCTGAAACGGAATAATTCCGAACTTGTTTTTGCCGATATCGTGGAAAACATTGATTGCATGGAATGGAATGGAAACAGAGTCGGTATTGAATGGATAGTGTAAGTTGGAAATAAAATTCGTAATATATGGGCTCATCATTATTCGTTTCAGATCACGCTTCCAGATTTACCAAATAGACGACGCGTTCGACATTGTTCGTCAAGATGGCACTATGGCCTCTATCAAATTGACCGATGACAACACCTTTTTGTTCGTGGTCGCTGAACCGGATTTCGACGATGATGTGCCACCGACTCCGCCAAACGAGGAAGAAGACGAATAGGAAGAAGAGGAGAACGAACAGCCGGACAACCGCGGAGCTTTCCATTTGGGAAAGTGAACTCATCGCCATTCCTCTATATCTCTACGTGTTTCTTTAATTATTTTTCTCCAATAAACTTTTCACAAACATATAACTATGTGTTTTGTATTCAAGTTGTGTGCAGGGATCAAAGTCCAACAAACATTATCGACAAATGAGAATGAAGGGAAAATTAAAATTATGTTTTACTTTTAAAGACAATTCTGACAGTTTTAGGTGGAACACTTCCAATTTGACTGAATTTGTACGTCTGAAAATGGTTTTCAGGTCTATCTTTCTCAACAGAGATGTTGGGAATTCCGTGTTCCGTGTTCCGCGTTTTTTTTCAATATTTTTTCCGTGTTCCGTGTTCCGTAAAAAAAAAAATTTCCGTGTTCCGTGTTCCGTAGAAATAAGTTTTTTCCGTTTTCCGTGTTCCGTGTTCCGTAAAAAAAAAATTTCCGTTTTCCGTATTCCGTGTTCCGTAAAGTAAAATTTTTATTCCCAACATCTCTGTTTCCCAACATTTAAGTTCACTTTTCTCAAAGACGGTTCCAAATTAAGAAAAGGGAACCTCACCAAATGTACATATCGTCTGAGATTGATGTTTTTTTGTTTTCGTCTTAGGCCATTTATTTCTTGATATGTCATGTTCGGCGCTTCCTCTACTTCTCCTCTTCTCTCCTTGCGAAGTCTAACCACTCTTATGATTTTCTACATCAACTTTTTTTACCCTCTTATTCCTATTGTTCAGTTACACATCACTCGCGTTATCACTAAATATAACTTTCGTTATCACTGAACTACGTGCAAACACTCTTGTTTACTTCATTTCGTGCTCATCGCTATTTCATTTCATTTCAGTTTCTTCCTTATATCATTTTCACACACATGACTTCAGAAACTGCTCGCTCTCAGGATTGGGGGGTAATAGAGCATTCGGAATCCGAATTTCGGATGCAAATCCTGAACGACATTCTGCTGACCTTCAGATCTGGTTTTTCAATTACCAAAAATAACTGGGGTCGTTTACTTTATTTCCTCAATGAATTCTTCATGTGTTGTTTTTCATTGCTCACTCTTAATCAAAATCCCATTCTTTTCAATGCTATTTTGTTTACTCGATAGCTTTCTGCAAACTCTTGCTCACTCTTATTTCCTCGGTTATCAGCTGCCACCTCCCTTCTTGCTACTCTTAAAATTTCCACACACTCGTCACGTGAGTGGTCGTGCCGCCCTTCCTCTTTCCGTCATATTTAAGACCAAACAATTGGTTCTTTCTTTTTCAGCTCCTCTCTTCTCAGCCTTACCTCTTTGCTTGCAATTGACCAGATTTCAGAAAAAATGTCATCGCTGGAGAATTTTTCCAATGCCATTGCAAACTCACTGTGGAGTTTCATCAGAACGCAATCGGTACCACAACATACATTTCGATTAATATAATTAAATAATGTGTTTCAGATAGAGCCCGAGGCTAGAAATAATTCATTGGAGAGGTGCAAAGTGGAGATTAAAAATGTGCTTGCAAAAGTGGAGGACGAATTGAATAAACGTTAGTTTCAAGATAACCATTTATTGTTTTATATAGCTATTTTACAAATTAACTTCAGTGTGCAAGACGTCCGAGGACGCCGAGAAACATTTCCAGGAACAGAAAGCTGAAATTGAGAAGGCTTTGGAGTAAGCTTCCCCTCCACCTATTTCTTATTTATAAACAAATTTTATTTAGGACTTTGAGTGAGAAGATGAAGAAGGACGAAGAGCAGGCTGACTTGGAACATGCCAAAAAAGAAGGAATGCTGAAGATCGCAAACGCCGAAAAGGAGAAGAAGGCGGTACATGAGGGGCTGAGAATGGAGCTGGAAGCGATGTTCACGTTGGCGGAACTGTTTCAGAAATTACTGAAGGCAATACAGATGACGATTGACAAAATTGCAGAGAAAAAGTGGGTTCACAATATTTTAGGATCCTCATGACTTTTTCTCAGGGAGCATCGGGAATTGGAGAACGAACAAACCCTCGAACAAATTCTGAAGCAAATTGAAGGGGTGCTTGAGCGTGGTCAAATCTCCAAGGAGTTCAGCCAAGTGGTTCAAACTATCTTTGAACCGCTCAATCAAATGTATAACTCGTTGATGAATAGTCAAAAACTCGTTAGTTAATCAAGATGATCAAAGTTTAAATTATGTATTCAGGGTTCCGAGAGTGAAAAGCCAATCCTGGACAGTATTCCGAAAGAGACGAATGCTTCGTTGATTCGCCAACTCTCCACCGATTATGAGCAACGATTGAAAGCGATGAAAGATCAGGCTGCTAGGTATGTATATCATATTCGATCCTCAAATTTCCATGTTTTTAGGCAAGAGGAAGAGGAAGAACGGAGATTCCAGGAAAAGTTTCAGCAGAGAAGAGAAGCAAGAACGAAAAAAAATGAGGAGAGCAGGAGAGAGCAGAAGAGGATTCAGGAAGAGCAGGATGAGAAACGGAAGAAAATGGACGAGCAACAGAAGATTTTCGATGAGGAGAGAGAGAGAAGAAGACGCGAATTGAATGAGCACATAAAAAAAGTAGAAGCGGTAAGGATTTTTTTGGTTGCCTAATGCAAAGCATCTTCATTTTTAGGAGAACAAGAGAGAAATCGAAGAAATGAACAGGAAATGTGCCGTGGAAAAAATGCGGTTTGAAACTGAGCAGGAATTGTAAGAATGAAAATTATCAAGTTTGGGAGAAAAAAACAGATATACAGAAGAAGAGAACGTTTCGAAAACGATGTTCATAAGAACAACGAGCAAATGGATGAGAAAAACCGAGCGCACGAGGAGGAAATGACAAGAAGAGCTGAGTGAGTTTTTTAGACCGCCTGATCAGAAACGACCGGATATTGTTTTAGAGAAAACCGCAAAGCAGACATGGAACACCTAGAAAGAATTCGTCGGATGAAAGAGGAATTTCTGAGAAACAGAGAAAAATCGAAAAAGATGTGGGAGGAGAAAATGGAAAAAATGAAACAGCAGTACGAGCAAATAAAGCAAGCATTCAAGTACCGCATTTGGAACGATATTATCGAGAGGAACTGGACGAATCGTTTGAACTTTTTGAGATCCGCCAATCGGGAGGTCGCGAGGAGTTACTCCTATTTTCAGAGTGCTGTAAGTATTGCAAATATACACATCATGATGATTCCATGTTCAGGCTAATAATCTCCAATACCGTCTGAATAGCGCTCAAGTTCCGGAAATCACAAAAGAAAAACAATTGGTTCAGCCATATCTTTTTGCTCTTCTGCAAGCCATTGACTCGGAACAATCGATCATGAATAAAGAGCTCGAAACTCTTCAGGAGATGTTCGATAAAACTGGAAAAAGTTTTGTCATCCAAATCAGGCAATCGCTTACTCTTGTCATAAATGCTTGTGCGGAGTTTAAGAGTGCTCTAAACAATTATAAGAATGTGTTGGAATCGGTAAGCAAATATAATCGATTGTCAAAAGAACTATTACCCATTCGTAGAAGTGTGCTACGCCCCTTCTGTGCCTTTAAATTTGAGGGGGAGAATCGGTAGATCACAATTTTAGTATATTTTGTTAGCACTTGTAATATGAACCCATCTGAAATCGTCTTTTTTGTCAGAAAATTCCCGCTCAAATTTAAGCGCTGGTTTGAAAAGTTTCGCTCCGTGAGAGGCTAGCTATCGTGAAAGGTGAAAGGCGTCAAGTTGCACACTCTTGCGAATACATGATTAGCAATAGTTAAAGTGTTCTCAATTTCCAGATAGACAATATCTCAACTGGTGAACACTCAAACTTCATTGAACACATCCGTAGAGCATCTGCTCAACTATCTTCTTGTTCTTCTAGCATTCCGACACTTGCTGAGCTGAAGACGAAGTATCAGAAAGAAATGAAGAGTCAAGAGGGAAACACGCATCGAGACGTGGTTCGGGTACATGAGCAGACTGTGATAATTGAGGAAATTGAATGAATACGTGGTTTTTTTTGGGAGTGATACTGTTTATCAGACGTTACTCTCAATCGACTGCAGTTAATAAGTTGTTATACCTTTTTCCAATTCCTGATCGTCTACATATAATTTCCAAAACGTCCATAACCCATAATTTGAGAATTCTGTAAATTTCCCTCAAGTTCGTCATTTTCACCCTGATCCCTAAGGACAGGGTTGCAAAAATTTTACACCGGGTCTTAGGTAAGGCCCTGTATTGATTGGTAATAGAATGTGTGAAGGAAAGGGAGGCGAGGGGTAGATGTGTAGAGTGTACCGACGTCTCGCAGGTTCCGCGGCGCGCTATGTAATGTTCGGAGGGGGCGGAGTCACGACGGAGATAACAGACGCGCGGAGGGCAAGCAAAACCTGCTTATGTTCGTTTGGAAACAAATGCGGGAAGACTTGGGAACTGAGAGACAGTTTGGAAAAATTTGGAATGCTAATTTTTATTGACAACAAGTAAGAACGGAATATTCTGGCGCCGTTCAGCCGATCTCATCACTTCTCTGGCACGTCGTCATTCTGTTCGGTCTCCTCCTTGATCGGCTCCAGTGTTTTCGGCTTCGAGTCGTCCTGATTAGCGGGAATATCAGCGAAGAGAGCCATTGTTCAGACGATGCTACTAGAGGAAATAGGAGAACTGTCGACTATTGGACATTGCGCTCTCTTTTTATACAGGTCTGAAATCCCATCGAATTTGAAATTCAATCAAGTCATTTTCGTATTCATACCGTTTTGCAATGGTAATTCCTTCATGTAAAGCAAAACTACACAGTTTTTGGAGAACAACGTTTTAGTTGTTTTCTTTTTTTCACAAAAAGTAATAGTCAAATTGAGTTCAGCACTTTTCCAACTACTCAACGTGAATTTGTTCGGAAAAACGTTTATCACGGCCCTTAGACCACTACAGAACATTTTGGGTGAGCAAATCTCTGCAAGATGCTCCTGCTAAACAAATTGGCTCAAAAATTGTGGTTGGAAATTCTCAGCCCGGATTTTTTTTTCGATAAAATGGTTTTCTGTGACGTGGTTTAACGTAGTGCAAATAAGGAAAATGGAAAAATGGTCTTGTGACGTGGCACACACGCTGTCCAAACCTCAAATATGTACTGAAGTTACTTTGTTGATTCGCCTATGTTTCCTCGTGCCAAGAAATGTGCATTTTCTATTCTTTTTGGGTAGGATTTATATTCTTTTGAAGTACTTTATGGATGTCATTTTTAGAGCTTCAGTAGCTGCATATTACAGTCTTTATTGGACTTTGCTCCCGAATGGAATACGTTAAAGTTAAATTTAAATATTGATGGACCAGAATGAGGGAGGAGGGGTGTTTGGAAATATTCTTGGGCGTTCGAATTTCGAGTTAAATCTTCTACGACTGTGTTCTGCCGATCTCAATCAGTCAGAATATTGGCGATAGTGAAATACTTGGATGTTGAGGACTGAGACTCCGAGTCTTCCTCATCACGATCTCTTATCTGCTGTTCGAGAGTATGGATATACTCTACTGTTGCACGTAGGACTCTGATCTGAAATCGGAACAAATTTCTCAAAAACGCTTTTAAATTTTACCGGTTTCGCACCGCTCTTTCCGAACTTTTCGTCATTTAGCACTGGAACTCGCTCGATCAGTGTTCCGAATTGATCCGCCATCTCAACAAATTATACTTTTCTAAGGTTTTCATCCCGAAAACTTACTTGCTGTGTTTCACGAGTTTCTTCGTATTTCATTTGATCGGCGCCCAACATTGACTCTGTTTCCCGTTCCACATTTTCTTTGTCCTCAACATCTTGCACGTTTTCCATCTCAACCGGCATGGTTGGTGCAGCTTCATCACTATTTTCCGATTCACGTTCCATTTTCTCTCCTTCATCATGCATTTTGATTTGATCTTCCAGAGTTTTAATGTACTCAATCGCTCCGTGCAGAACTCCTATCTGCAACAGAAAGAGGTGATTTCGAAAGTCATTTTTTAAACATACTTTCGTCCAGGGTCGCTTTCCTGGCACATCCTTCATCAACGGAAGTCTATTTCGCAATATTCCATAATGTTCAGTTACCTGTAACAAGAAAATGTCAAGCCTAATTGTGAACTCGAGATCGAACACTTACTTTCTGAAATCGCTTCCGTTCATTTTCGGCTTTCAAGTTGCTCATGTTTCCGATGTTTTGAGCTATTGTAGTGAAAATAAATGTTTGCAAGTGGACAGGTTTGGACGGACGGACGGTCTGACTGACAGAACAAGAATAGGAAGAAGTGGACAGAGAGTTGTGCGGTATGGAGGTGGGCTCTAACAAAATGCAACAGATGGTGTTCTTGGGCTCGGTGTATTCTCCGGGGAAGCATGTCTTGTCAGCCTTCAAATCGAAGTACCACTTGAATAGCACTTGCCGCGTTCAAATTACCTTAGTTTATCTGGCATCTCGTCTCCATGAACACCCCAGAAGGAAAGTAGTGCGGACGGGTGGTAACAGTCGTCTCGTTCCTAGTTATTGTCATCACAAAGTTACAAAATGACAAACAAGTACCGTAGAGAGACGTGAAATCAGTACAAACTAGTGTTCGCTACGTCATTCAACTGAGCATGGTTCGAAAAAGTTTTCTGAAATGAGTCCCTCAGTGCTCTTCGTGTTTGTAAACGTTTGTGGTACTCGAGTACAATTTAAATGATATTTCCTTCAAAATCAAACGCGTTCAACAATGATGAAACCCCATTTTACATGGATTTTGCAACAAACACTCAACATTTCTCATTAATTTCAACTCACACAGAAGATTCCAAACAATAAACCAGTGAATATTTTCTTTTCGATGTAAAAGGAACCTTCTTCCCGATTCTGGATAGAATCAGATTGAGAAAAAGGAAATGAAGTAAATGATTGTTCATGTTCACATGATAAGCTTTTTTTGTGTGTCGACAATTCCTTCAAAATTTTTCTGAAACCGCTAGGTTTTAGTAATGTTTTTAAAAATCATTGCTCTCATGCTCACCTCTAATGCGATGTACTTTTTCTCATACTCCATTTTCTCTTGCTCCATATCTTCAAGCACGTTTTGAAACGTATTTAACGTGTTCTGATGAGCTGCTTTTTCTCTGCACAAGCTCTCGACGGCGTTCTTCAGCTCTTCTTGACGACGAATATTCCGCTGCTCGAGTTTCTGATAATTCACACGAGTTTCGACGATTTTCGCATTGGCTCGAGCAAGTTCGTCCTCTTTGCCTGTGAGTCGCTTCGAAAGTTCCTCAATTTTCCGGCTTAGTTCAAAGTTCTTCTCCATCTCCGCTTTCAGTTGATCTCTTGCCAGTTCCAACTCCATTTCCGCATGAACGAGCCTCACTCTCTCTCTCTGCACAAAAAGGCGAAAATTAACGAAAAATCATATGAATGACTCACTTTTTCATATCTTCATCTTCTTTTTGCATCGACATCTTTCAGCAGTAGTTTTTGCAATGGACAAAGAAATCTAGAGGAGTGGTATTATTGAGAAGGAAGGCAGAGAGAAATTATTGATTGGACGGCAGTTGTTACAAAATCGGTGATTCATGGGACTGTGAAGTGTGAGAAAACGACGGATACGTAGATGCTTCAGAACAACTGATTCAAGAGAGAGGAAACATTCTAAAAATAAAGGTTTTCCATGAATGCCGCAGGAAAAACGGATCGTGTTTGAGCCAAGAGAAAACAAGAACAAAGAGCGTAGGAAGAAAACAAAATATGAGCGGGAGGAATTACGACATTGATGACGCAGACGCAGGAGAACAACACTAACATGTAATGCATTCGAATTGTCACCCTTGGATTAAAGTGTTTATGGGAGCGAGCGACCGTTGTTTCCTTGATTTCCAGCTTTATCGTTCTTTGGAGTTATTCAAACTCACAGAAGTTTACTTCAGCATTTCCACGACGTCTAATTGAGTCTCTGTATTCTTCTGATTCGTTTGATATACATCAAGTCATACTTTGACGACTTTTTATTTTTCAGGGTCATCTGAATCCTCAGATGACTTCTGAATCTTTCTGGTTTGTATTTAGATGAACAGAGCACATTTTTCTGAACATTTTTGCTCTTGGATGCTTCTCGATAGCTTCATCCGTTCTTGAGATCTCACCGCCGCGCCAAGCGGCGACCGGCGCCATTATATATACGCCCAATGGGCGATTGAGCCTCGTGGCCAGGGTGGTGTAGGTGGTTAAGCTTGTGCTTAGCAATCCGAAGACCGCAGGTTCGAGCCCCGCCGAGTGCAAAGAAATTTGCCTCGGTTCGACACTAATCGTGACGACTTTCAGACGTGACTGAAGGACGTGGCGACTCCGGCAGTGCACATTATGGGTAAAACAAGTCGGCTTTCGGAAGACTGGGAGCAGGCAAATCATGGATGAAAGGCTGAAAATAAAAGTAAGTCTGGACTAATGAATGCTCGATTCTGTGGTCTTCACACCGTAATACCTGAGTCACCCCTTTTTGCAAGTGTTGCGTGTATGCATTATGTGATGATGGGAAGTTCACAAACAATTAGATAGGTTTCATCACTACAACTGACATACATGCAATACTTGTAAAAAGGGGTGACTCAGGTATTACGGTGTGAAGACCACAGGATCGAGCATTCATTCGTTCAGACTTACTTTTATTTTCAGCCTTTCATCCATGATTTGCCTGCTCCCAGTCTTCCGAAAGCCGACTTGTTTTACCCATAATGTGCACTGCCGGAGTCGCCACGTCCTTCAGTCACGTCTGAAAGTCGTCACGATTAGTGTCGAACCGAGGCAAATTTCTTTGCACTCGGCGGGGCTCGAACCTGCGGTCTTCGGATTGCTAAGCACAAGCTTAACCACCTACACCACCCTGGCCACGAGGCTCAATCGCCCATTGGGCGTATATATAGTGGCGCCGGGCACCGCTTGGCGCGGCGGTGAGTTCTCAAGAACGGATGAAGCTATCGAGAAGCATCCAAGAGCAAAAATGATCAGAAAAATGTGCTCTGTTCATCTAAAAACAAACCAGAAAGATTCAGAAGTCATCTGAGGATTCAGAAGACACGGAAAAATTGATGTATATCAAACGAATCAGAAGAACACGGAGATTCAAGCTAACGTCATCAATATTGAAATGTTTCCGTCCGCTGCCCCACGAGACGACTGAACATGCGACGGAGCCAAAGTGGAACGCAAATCAGTTCGGAGACGACGAAACTCGTGGAACAGAGATTGAAGTAAGTTATCGGGTTGACAATCTCAGAAAAGTTTCCCTTGTTCAGATGACGAGCCAATTTGAAATTTTGATCGAGCGGGTTCCGGCGCTGAATGGCTTGAAGTTCGGAAATGACGGTGTGGAACCGGTAAAATTGTTTTCGAAGTTTCTGTGGAAAACCGCTTCTATTTCAGATCGAAGTTGTTGATGCAACGATGGATTACATCCAAACTCTCCAAAACCAGATCAGTTATTTCGATGATATGGACAAGGAAAAATTATATATATTTATTTTTACAGAATAATGATACGTTGACGTGTATTAATCGAAAGGTTTTTTCAAAGGTTTCATGTGTACAATGTGTTGTATAATTATAGGTCAACCCCCAATTTTGCTGTAAATTCAATATATCTATATGTATGGGAGGCAAGCGATTTTTTCCAACTTTTGCGCCGGAAGATGTGTGTGTGTGTTGTATCACTCATTTTGTATTTTCTCTATGTTCTACTAATTATCATTGTCATTTTGCTTCAAACAAGGTGTCGGTAGGTCTTTTCTGGAATTAGTCATGAATTTCTGAAATGTTTGATGTGAATTAGTGGTGTCTGCCCTTTGTGCGGGGAGATCGGAAGAGTGTGCTGAAACACTCAGTTTCTATCTTCAAGAAGAACGATTTTGTTCTTTCGAGCATAATACTGTCTTTATTTATATTTTCTCTAGGGGATCATACATAGAATTAGGGAAGTGGAAAATGTTGAAACAATAAAAACAAAAGTTCATGTGATCGATGAATATAAAGCACACCAAAATGAGAAGAAAGGGGTACGCATTATGCTCCCTCAATTTAAAGGGGAAAGCTGATGATACCTCAATAACATAAAGAAGTTGAAGTAATGATTTTAAAGAAATTTCGAGTTGTGCACTTTTGAGCACCTACAGAACTATCGTATCCCGGAGCTGAGTACCCAATATTGTGCATACATGTACATATCGGAAAATAAGGAGTGTCAGCAAGTTATAGAACCCCCTAAATATACTTTTGAATACGGGTAACAGTAAGCAATAAGCAATAAGCAACAAATAAGCGAGCAACTGTGTATCATCCATTTCAATTCTCCAGCCAATTGTAATCGTTCGATGAAGATGGAAGGTCCCATGAATGATTGTAGTCAGTGACCGAGCGCTCCAAATTTTCCTTGTCCATATCATCGAAATCCCTGATCTGGTTTTGGAGAGTTTGGATGTAATCCATCGTTGCATCAATAACTTCGATCTGAAATAGAAGCGGTTTTCCTCAGAAACTGCGAAACAATTTTACCGGTTCCACACCGTCATTTCCGAACTTCAAGCCATTCAGCGCCGGAACCCGCTCGATCAAAATTTCAAATTGGCTTGTCATCTGAACAAGGGATACTTTTCTGAGATTGTCAACCCGATAACTTACTTCAATCTCTGTTCCACGAGTTTCGTCGTCTCCGAACTGATTGGGGTTCCACTTTGGCTCCGTCGCAAGTTCAGCCTTCTCCTTGTCCTCGAAAATTTGTAGGCAATGAGTATCCATCTGCTCGAACTCCATCTCATCCCTCACGATCAAAGCTGGCAGGGTCAGAGGTGACAGAACTTGTGCAGTTTCATGCGTAACCGATGCATGTTCCGATCCTTGATCCATGCTCTTCATTTCATCGTGCATTCTGATTTGGTCCTTCAAGTTCTTAATGTACTCCATTGCTTCTCTTAGAATTCTCAACTTCAACAAAAAAGATAATTTCAAACGTTTTGCAGTTGCTCAAAACAAACCTTCGTGCAGCGTTCACCTCCGACATTCAACGACGGAACTTTCTTTCTCAGCGTTTCAAATTGGTACCCCAACTGCAAGAAACATGTGTTGAATTGTGAAATTAATATAAGAAACTTACTATCTGCAATCGTCTTCGTTCCTCTGCATTTCTGTTCGGCTTATTCATGTTTCCAAGATATTGAGTTGCTATAATAAGGCGAAAATTAGCAAATTGAAATATTTGAACTGGCGGCTGGTTTCACTAACAAGAATTTGAATAAAATGAAAGTTCTTTTTCAAAAGTACTTGTGGTAATCGAATTATTTTCCTATTTACTAATTACTGCATCAAAAGGGTAACCGACCCGTCTCCGAGGTCATTCAAAATACTACATCGAGAATTCAAATTGCAAAGGAGTATTCGCCGCGTCGTTCGACATTGCGTGGTTCAAAAAACTACAACGCACTTTTTGGCGGAAGCAGAAAGACGGAGAATCTACTTGCAAAAAGGGAATGAAGCTGTGAGTTAGTGGAAAAGAGGAGAAGCATGAAACGGAAACGAGAATCTCGAAAAATTATAGGGCTGAATATGTCGGCAGAGAAGAAAAGAATGGGCGTTGTAGCCCTGATGGACAACTGTAGCCTGCATTATTGGCCAGGAAAGTTATGTATTTCAAATAAGTAGAATATCAAAATAAGGAGAATGTGTGAATCAACATATTTAGATACATGGCCTCTCCATTCTGATTGACTGCGACACACGAAAAGATCCGTGATCAGCATCTGCCATGTCCTATACGAGAAGATCGCCATTTTTGAGTAACTTGTACTGATCACTTTGCCTGTCAAGCTGTTGTTTCTCAAAATACTAGAGGAACTCGGCCGCTTGGTCAGCTCTGCATCTCAAACGCGCTGAGCTTCCGATCCAACCCAGGTGGAAACCGGATCCAGTGGAATCTGAAAGAATGTGCACGGGACAGTGTTTCGACAAGACTATGCTTACTGATGGAGACGTAACCGGATGTCATAACGATGCCTGCGGCGTTTGTGGCGATGCATGAGTACTTCCAGGCTTGAATTGTTCGTTGTTCGAGGGCAGCGGAAGGAAAAATTTCAATATTGATGACGTTAGTTTGAATCTTCGTGTTCTTCTGATTTGTTTGATATATATCAAGTCGTACTTTGAAGACTTTTAATTTTTCCGTGTCATCTGAATTCTCAGATGACTTCTGAATCTTTCTGGTTTGTATTTAGATGAACAGAGCACATTTTTCTGATCATTTTTGCTCTTGGATGCTTCTCGATAGCTTCATCCGTTCTTGAGATCTCACCGCCGCGCCAAGCGGTGCCTGGCGCCATTATATATACGCCCAATGGGCGATTGAGCCTCGTGGCCAGGGTGGTGTAGGTGGTTAAGCTTGTGCTTAGCAATCCGAAGACCGCAGGTTCGAGCCCCGCCGAGTGCAAAGAAATTTGCCTCGGTTCGACACTAATCGTGACGACTTTCAGACGTGACTGAAGGACGTGGCGACTCCGGCAGTGCACGAAAGGGTCAAGAAAATCAAATGGTAAAATCGGTTGACCGGGAGCAGGCAAATCATGGATGAAAGGCTGAAAATAAAAGTAAGTCTGAACGAATGAATGCTCGATCCTGTGGTCTTCACACCGTAATACCTGAGTCACTACTTTTTACAAGTATTCAAGTATTGCATGTATAACGCATTCTCTGTAAGACTCGAGCAATGAGGGACATAGGGAAAGATTTTTATGTGAGCATGTATATGGGGACTAGTGTGCCCTATATGCACAATATTGGGTCCCAGCTCTGGGTTACGGTAGTACGGTAGGTGCTCAAAGGTGCACAACTCGAATTTTTTCAAAAAAATCGTAGGAGGCTGAAATTTTTTTTACAGTTTGTATATGTTTAGTGATATGTTTTCCCAAACATTCAGCTGTTAAGAAAATTTTTTGGCCGAGTTGTAACAGAAAAACTTTACATTTTGCATGATTTTTGGAGAAAACTAAAAATTAAGGGCCTTAGTAAGAGGCTCCGGAGAAAACGATCTACTACACAAAGGTGTATTTTCATCTTAGCTTTTGACAAAAAAAAATCCGAGTCATTTCGACTTGCAGCAGATGCCGAAAAGTTGAATTGTTTGTGAGCGACTTCTACCTTTTCCCTCGTAAGAGCATTGTATTCCATCGGAAATCAATGCGAAGCTGCAGAAATCAGTTTGTATGAACACAAAATTGTTTTTAAGGGTTTTTTGAAAAGTTTTACGTTACTTATTTTGAAAATCAAAACTCAGAAGTGCATTTTGTCTTATAACTGTTTTTATTCTAAAAACAGCGACATCGTGTTGCTGAACCCTAGTTTTTTCACTCTTTTTCCATTTTTATTTATTTATTTCTCTTTTTTTTTCAATTATTCGTTCATTTATTCAACTTTATTCATGATTATTTTCATTTTGAAGAGTTAAAGGACCAGGGAACGTTCCGAGTTTATGTGTCTGACTGAATTGCTTCTTATTGCCACATTCACTGTCCGAGCCCCAACTTTCAGAAATAACTGTGAATGGAACAGCGCTTAGTCAAAGTTGTGGCCGTGGCCCAGAAAAGTTCTAGGCCTTGTGATCTTTTTCGGATTTTTTCTTGCGTTCGGCACAATCTTCATACCTTGCAAAACATTCACACCATCAAACTCCATCAAACGAGCATCAAACTACTCACAGGGAAGAGTTTTCACACCGGAGTCGTCGTATTCTTTAGAGTTCATCTCTTTCAACATTAATTTCAATAATTCACCAGAAGTATCTCTTTTCGATTGCTTCCTTAATTCCATTTCGTGCTCCGTCGCAAGTAAACTAGATGAGACGGAGAACGTTTACGATGAGAACAGTGAAGAAAATAGTGATTTCGAGAATATTGTTTGTCTAATAGAAAAAGAAAAATGACTTATTCGTTGTTTGAAATTATTAAGTCATTCTGAAATAAATTTAAAGGACCAGGGAACCCTCAAATGTTTTTTTACTTTTTTGTGAAATTTTTTTTTGTGTATGTTTGAATTGTCTCTTATTGCCTCATACACTGGTGAAATGTTGACACTCAGAAATGCCAATGAACGAAACGGCGTGCAGTTGAAGTTGTGGCCGTGGCCTAGGAAACTCCGGTGTGAAAACTCTTCCCTGTGAGTAGTTTGATGCTTTTCCACTCTGCATGAATGCTGATTTGTGTGAATGTTTTGCAAGGTATGAAGATTGTGCCGAATGCAAGAAAAAATCCGAAAAAGATCACAAGGCCTAGAACTTTTCTGGGCCACGGCCACAACTTTGACTAAGCGCTGTTCCATTCACAGTTATTTCTGAAAGTTGGGGCTCGGACAGTGAATGTGGCAATAAGAAGCAATTCAGTCAGACACATAAACTCGGAACGTTCCCTGGTCCTTTAACTCTTCAAAATGAAAATAATCATGAATAAAGTTGAATAAATGAACGAATATTTGAAAAAACAAGAGAAATAAATAAATAAAAATGGAAAAAAAGAGTGAAAAAAACTAGGGGTTCAGCAACACGATGTCGCTGTTTTTTTAGAATAAAAACAGTTATAAGACAAAAATGCACTTCTGAGTTTTCGATTTTTCAAAATAAGTAACGTAAAACTTTTTCAAAAAAACCCTTAAAAAAACAATTTTTGTGTTCATACAAACTGATTTCTGCAGCTTCGCATTGATTTCCGATGGAATACAATGCTCTTACGAGGGAAAAGGTAGAAGTCGCTCACAAACAATTCAACTTTTTCGGCATCTGCTGCAAGTCGAAATGACTCGGATTTTTTTGTCAAAAGCTAAGATGAAAAATACACCTTTGTGTAGTAGATCGTTTTCTCCGGAGCCTCTTACTAAGGCCCTTAATTTTTAGTTTTCTCCAAAAATCATGCAAAATGTAAAGTTTTTCTGTTACAACTCGGCCAAAAAATGTTCTTAACAGCTGAATGTTTGGGAAAACATATCACTAAACATATACAAACTGTAAAAAAAATTTCAGCCTCCTACGATTTTTTTGAAAAAATTCGAGTTGTGCACCTTTAAGCACCTACCGTACTACCGTAACCCGGAGCTGGGACCCAATATTGTGCATATAGGGCACACTAGTCCCTATATACAAGCCCATGAAATTTCTAAGCTCTACCTTCTCTACAGGCTCTATGTCCACACCCACTATGACCATGCTCCAGTCTTACGGAGAATGGCTTGTATGTCAGTTGTAGTGATGACATCTAATTGTTTGTGAATTTCCCATCATCACATAACACATACACGCAACACTTGCAAAAAAGGGTGACTCAGGTATTACGGTGTGAAGACCACAGGATCGAGCATTCATTCGTTCAGACTTACTTTTATTTTCAGCCTTTCATCCATGATTTGCCTGCTCCCAGTCTTCCGAAAGCCGACTTGTTTTACCCATAATGTGCACTGCCGGAGTCGCCACGTCCTTCAGTCACGTCTGAAAGTCGTCACGATTAGTGTCGAACCAAGGCAAATTTCTTTGCACTCGGCGGGGCTCAAACCTGCGGTCTTCGGATTGCTAAGCACAAGCTTAACCACCTACACCACCCTGGCCACGAGGCTCAATCGCCCATTGGGCGTATATATAGTGGCGCCGGGCGCCGCTTGGCGCGGCGGTGTGATCTCAAGAACGGATGAAGCTATCGAGAAGCATCCAAGAGCAAAAATGATCAGAAAAATGTGCTCTGTTCATCTAAATACAAACCAGAAAGACTTAGAAGTCATCTGAGGATTCAGATGACCCTGAAAAATAAAAAGTCGTCAAAGTATGACTTGATGTATATCAAACGAATCAGAAGAACACAGAGGCTCAATTAGACGTCGTGGAAATGCTGAAGTAAGCTTCTGTGAGTTTGAATAACTCCAAAGAACGATGAAGCTGGAAATCAAGGAAACAATTCTAACGGTCGCTCGCTCCCATAACCACTTTAATCCAAGGGTGACAATTCGAATGCATTACATGTTAGTGTTGTTCTCCTGCGTCTGCGTCATCAATGTCGTAATTCCTCCCGCTCATATTTTGTTTTCTTCCTACGCTCTTTGTTCTTGTTTTCTCTTGGCTCAAACACGATCCGTTTTTCCTGCGGCATTCATGGAAAACCGTTATTTTTAGAATGTTTCCTCTCTCTTGAATCAGTTGTTCTGAAGCATCTACGTATCCGTCGTTTTCTCACACTTCACAGTCCCATGAATCACCGATTTTGTAACAATTGCCGTCCAATCAATAATTTATCTCTGCCTTCCTTCTCAATAATACCTTTTCTCTAGATTTCTTTGTCCATTGCAAAAGCTACTGCTGAAAGATGTCGATGCAAAAAGAAGATGAAGATATGAAAAAGTGAGTCATTCATATGACTTTTCGTTAATTTTCACCTTATTGTGCAGAGTGAGAGTGAGGCTCGTTCATGCGGAAATGGAGTTGGAACTGGCAAGAGATCAACTGAAAGCGGAGATGGAGAAGAACCTCGAACTGAGCCGAAAAATTGAGGAACTTTCGAAGCGGCTCACAGGCAAAGAGGACGAACTTGCTCGAGCCAATGCGAAAATCGTCGAAACTCGTGTGAATTATCAGAAGCTCGAGCAGCGGAATATTCGTCGTCAAGAAGAGCTGAAGAACGCCGTCGAGAGCTTGTGCAGAGAAAAAGCAGCGCATCAGAACACGTTAAACACGTTTCAAAACGTGCTTGAAGATATAGAGAAAGAGAAGAAGGAGTATGAGAAAAAGTACATCGCATTAGAGGTGAGCATGAAAGCAATGATTTTGAAAAAAAATTACAAAAATCGAGCGGTTTCAGAAAAATTTTGAAGAAATTGTCGACACAGAAAAAGTCAAAAAAGAGAAATTGGCGGAAGTGGATAAGCTGAACGAGACGATTAAAAACTTGAAGAGCGAGATTAATGCGGTAATTGACTTTTTCATGCACAATTTATGTACATTTTGTTCGTAGGTGGCAGCAGTGGGTAGGAGATCGGTCATCCGCGAGCGACTCTCCTATCATTTACGCATTCGGATCACGATAAACTTCTTCAACAAGTAAGATCTTTATTTTATTCCCATTTTATGTTTCGATGCTTCAGGAAGCCGGAGGTCGGCGTGCAACTGATGAGAGAATGGGGAATTGTCAATGGTCCCCATTCAATTGCAAATCTGCTTTTCGACCGGGACGATTTCTGCAAAAGCCAAGTCGGAGAGTACATCGGAACTCTCCGCTCGGATTTTCACATACGGATTTTAGAGTATGAAGTTTTTACCTCAACTTTTATAACTCAAATACTTTATTCTTAGACATTTCCTCGCAAAGATCGACCTCAAAGATCTGGAGATAGACATGGCGTTCCGGAAGATGTTGAAGTATATTTCTCTTCCAAGAGAGCCGGAAAAGGTTGACAAGATTGTCGAAAAGTTTGCTATGCATTATGCCAATTCGAATCCTGAAATAACATTGCGATTCCGAGGCGGCTGGGATACCATTCATGTCATCAGTTTTTCTGTTGTCATGCTTCAGACAGATCTGTACAACGTGAACATTAAACGTCGGATGACTGTGGAAGACTATGTACGCAATTTGAGAGGGGCAGATAAAGTGAATAAAGACGAGGAAAACGGCATAAACATCGATCGATCGATGTTGGAAGGAATTTACGGTCGGATGAAAGAACGGGAATTCGAAGAAGGATTCGATCATGTGGCCGAGGTGAAACTGATCGAGAACTCTCTTGTCGGCGAGAATAAACCGGTAAGCCTGATTATTGTGATCATTATTCAAACAAATTGATTTCAGAATTTAACAGATATTCCTCGTCGTCTAGTACACTTCTTCCGCATGAAATATGTCAGTAATCCCAAAGACTTGTTCGCTCACAAAAAGTGCATATTTCTGCTGAATGACATGATTATAATTGCAAAAGGAGTCACTCATGGAACCATACAAATCACTGGGACCACTTATGTGTATGAGCAGCATGGCTTTCTTCTCGGAGCAGAACTTGTCGAGTTTCGGGAAAAAAAATTGAAGTTCGGGATAATGATCACATGCGCCGACAATAAGACGATTCATCTGAACGCAGCAAATGAGGAAGAACGAGTCGCATTCATGAAGAACACGAGAGAAATTATACTTGAGGCGACTGTGATGGAGGCAGTTCGGTATGAACTTGAAATGGAGAAGAAGATGAAAGGACTGGACAAGACTTTCGATGCGATCCACACAGAAAAGAAAATCCCATCGGATGAAAGCGGTTCCACCGACATGAACAATTCCATGAACTTTTTTGTAAGAGTTTTTTCATTTCACTTACAATCAGAAATGTTTTTTTTTTCAGAATGAAACCTACAATAGGTCTGTCGTCAATTCACCTGTGTCCCCCCTTGTCATCATCGATTCGCCAGTCACTGAAGAAGAGTGTCTGACAGATACAACTCCGAAACCAATTGTTTTTCCGGTTCAATTTGATGAGAACATTTAAAAGTAGTAACATGTTAAAATATTTTTTACGTCCTTGTACGGGACTAGAAAACTCAACGCCTCCGCCTCTTCCATATGATTTTATTGTTTCTAAACGTCTTCATAAACTGCCGCATTTGTTTAATCTTCAGAAAGGTTGATAAATGAATAAATAAATGAAGATATATGTATGTATAATTGAACGATAACGACATAATCATTCTCACTGTGGTCGCCATTGTTGTTGGTTGCTTGCGTTTGCAAATGAGGCTGGCTCAGAAAATGATGGGTACATTTGAAATTGATCATCATCTTGGGGTGGATAGTAAGTCTGATTGTGAGCCGGGAGATCGTTCTGATGTTGAATTTCGTTCACAATGCTTTGTTGTTGATGATGACTCCAGTTCGTCTGAGAATTAATTCGATTCGTTACATGCTCGTCTCTCCAATTCCATTCGTGTTCCAGGCCGGTGGATTGAGATGACTGTGGCTCACAGGCCTGATCATTTGTCGAACCGGGTTCGTTTCTCCAGAACCGTTGGCCGGAAGGTATTGTTGAGAGGTCAGAAAACTTTGCGGGCTCAGGTGTACGGCTATTGAGAGCGGGCTGTCGTTCGGAATGTACCCAGGACCGATATGGAAATGCTGAAAGTTAAATTAGATTTAAACCAAAAACATTAACATAACTTACAGTCACGTGCAAACTCGATTGTGTTCGTTTGAGACTCCAGTCGACAGTTATTGTCGAGCGATGCAGTTGAGATCGTAGCAGGAGTGACGTGCCTCACTCGAACTTCATCAATCGATTGAGAAGTCATCGGAAGATTGAAATTATGTTTCCCTGATCGGTTAGAATATTCAGACACGGATTTGGGTGCTCCCGGGTTCACAACTAAAGACATTTGCAACTGTGCGGATTCGTATTTGGCCAGATTAGTTTTCATTCTGTCGATTTTCTCCCTGGCATAAATCATGAATCTATAAGCCTCCTTCAAAATTTTCTCCTGAAACGTGATAAAATTTGTGATATTTTTCAGTGTGCCAGTTTGTACCTGACTAGGATGCGGCCTTCTAAAATTTCCAAAGCCGGGCGGCAATGCCTCCTTCATATTTTGCACGATTTTTGCTATCTGCAACCAAATACGCTTAGAGATAGCCGGAAATAACAGAACGCTTACATTTACTCTTCGAATCCGGTCTTGTAAAACTTTCTCTTCTCGGTTTTCCACTTGTCTCCTTGCTGGCGGCATTTCGATGAGTTTTCTGAAACCCTCTTGCTTTGAATAAAAATAATATGCATAAAATAAGAAAAGAAACAAAGACAACGGTCTCTCCCCTCTGAACGAAGATCTCCGAATACCTAATACAGAAAGAGCGGTCCGCTTTTTTGGGGGCCATCGAAAATAACGTCATCTGTTCTTTCGGGGCCCACCCCAACAGCGACTCTCAGAAAACCGACGAGGCCCGGCTTGGTTACACTTCAGCACCAATGGACTTTGCAAAACAAGAAAACGAGACGTCGCCAGAACAGGAGCCGGTCTAAACAACGGTGCAGGTGCCTACCGATAAAACAGTTTCTAATTTGTACTTCCAGAACTTATATTCAATGGGAAAAATTCAAATGATTGTTCTTCCATTCATCTCCTTTCATTTTTCTACATTCTTGCTGATGCTCTCGGATTACCTCCATCCAAAGATGCAGTCTCGCTCTGATCTTCGAATCTCAGTACCTGTCAACATATTGCTTGGTTTGATGGTTTCATTATGTTTGCCAATGTCCACTCGAGTCTTCTTTTTGGGTCGGTCGCACTTTTCCTTTGGCGGGGTAGGACATCCCGGGAGGATCAAAACCAAGATGAAAATAACACCACGTACGTATGTGGGAAGCACGAAAACTATCAAGTCTCACCAGTGGAAGCGTCGAGCTTTTCGAAGAATCTTAGAAGAAAAAATAAAAGAAATGTCAGTTTCTATTCCCAGATAAGCGGTTTCTTTTAGTGTTATCAAGTCAGCTATTGGTAGTTCATTTGCTAAGACAATTTTCCGGTCTAAGCACTTAGTTTTTATTTTTGTAGCCCTTCACAAAGTGCATTTGAGAAAATTGGAGTTCCAGAGTGGAGTGAACCAGAAGAAGAAAGGGATCGCTTGCTGGGATCCTCCAAAAAAAAATAAAAGCGAATGAAATTCCAATCAAAGTCTTCAGGTGGTCGATTTGGATGAGCTACCTGAAAGTGTCGAGTTTTCTTTAGTTTTGTCCAACTCTTCCGATGACACTTTTCCAAACTTTCTCGCACCGTGGCTCGTGAAGTTTTTCGAGTTCGGACATGAAATCTAAAAAATAACGTTCGTTCTTCCAGATGTGTTTCTCTTAAAATTTCATTTTTGGTTCAGATTTGCTGAGATTGGCATTTTTGGTTCAGATTTTGCTGATTTTTGGTTCAGATTGGCCGCACACCCTACGCGTGCAGTTGCACCTGACGTCATCAGCAGGGACTCGGACGACGAAGGAAATCGAAGAACGCATTCGCTCACAGATCGGGAGGGTCACCGAAGAGACCATTCGGCCATGTCATTCTTTCATTCGCTGTCGGGTGGTCCGGTTCTTGATCTTCTCCCGTCTTCCCTGTTTCACCGTCGTTTTTCTATTTGCCAAAAGTTTTACAGATTGGATTCGTCCTGGGAAGCTATGGAAAGCGCCAACAAAAAAGCGCCAATAATGACTACTGAACAAGAAGAATACGTGCCGGCCAAGGTAAAAAACCACCACCTATTCAAAGTATGCATCTTGATAATTTTCAGCTTACTCTGGAACTGGACAAGTTACATGAAGCCGTCAGACCGTTTTTCAATGTGAAATACACGCGAGGGGAAGCGATCAGTATGGCGGTGAAAATTATCAACCGATACAAAGAGACGACGATGGAGATTGAGCGGAACCCGTCGGAACAATGGCCGGCGACATCGGAGCCCCCTAGTGTTGATGAGTGTAGTCAGGAGAATCGGTCTTCGAGCGCACATGACATTCCGATTGATTCAAATGACATCGTGCCAACTCCAACTCCATCCTGGGAATCGTCGCCTGCCCAATTCGTGGAAAGAATCGCTACTCGGTCCCCGCCTATTGAGCAGTTCAGTGTGAAGTCTGTCGCTGAGCACCAGGATGTCAAACTCGGCATTTCTATTCTTAGTGAGAAAAAACCGGAACAGAATGTCTATAAAGGGAAACTGAACATTACAGATTCTGAAGCCTCAATCTGCTTGAAGGAACCAAAAGTGAAGCCGCTGGAGCCGCTTGCAGAGCTGATAATTGAGCCAATAGAAGAACTTCCTAGACTGGCGTTCCCCTTCGGATTGCCCATGTTGTTGTTCGGATGTGAATATTCCCTGGTGGCTGCTCCATTTAGCGTGTACGGTTATGGCATCGGATCCGGATATCAACAACCACCTACTCGAGGAAGTACGCCCACTCAACAACTGAACCTTTTTGACCAACTTCTGCGGCACGTACCTTACCCCGTCTTCACCCCGATGCTTTTTGCATCACCAATGGCATTTCTGAACACGCAGAAAAAGAAACGCGACCAGGAGAACAAGAAGTAATCTTCATAACTTTAACTTTTGAATTTCTATGTGATATTGTCAAGTACCTTTTCGCATTGCCTCCCCGCACTTCGATTGTGCACTTTTTATTGCATATTTCAAGACTCTGCAATCACAGCTGGCTAGTATGCGTGTGTATGTGGTCCTCTCCGTGCATTACTCATTGCCACAAGTCACATCGCATCGAATGCGTCCGTGGCAACATGTCGGCCAATGACGGATCGGCTGTTATGATCGGTTTTGTTTGTCCAGAAACGTGTTTTCCGGTGAAATCATGCCTTCTGCTGAAAATATAGTCAATTTGAATGGTCTGGAGGAATGGAAGTGATACTGGCACGACATCCGCACTGACCGCTTCGTCTTCTCAAAGAGAACCTTTGGAGAACGAAGCCTTATGGTTTTGAACGCTTTCTCCTCTATTGGATATTTACAAAATGCATTCAGATAAACTTGTTATCTGAATGGACTTCTCTTTTAAAGCATCAAATTTTTTTAATTTTTTTATTGCCCCTACCGTACAACCGTAACTAAATAAGGTGAACATGTACCACAGTTTCTAGTGTTGAACAATATCCACAACTTACTTCGTACAGTCTCGCCAAGATTGTAGTCGAACATTTTCTGAAGTCTCTATTTGTTTGCGAGTTACAGCCGTTTCCGAGTAGTCACTATATAACTGATATTATCGCATTCAAAGAGAGGTCCTATATTTTTGCTCGAAACATAAAAACTGCCTGAAAAAGTGCTAAATAACGAATGCCGTTGAGTCTGTGTTGATCCGATTTTTTTCAAATTTTTTAGAGTGAATGCTTGTTTCGCACCCAACTGATGGGAAAATCAGTGAAAACAAACTTTTCTGATCGGAATATATATAAGAAAGTTTATTTTTTAAATTTCTGATTTATCAATAAATTTGTCTCGGCCGAAAAATCACAACTATGGGTCAGAGTTGAGCGGAATTCCGTCTGCCGTCTTCCGTCTTCCGTGGATTTTTTTGTTCCGTCTTCCATCTGCCGTCTTCCGTGAGAAAAATTTTCTTCCGTCTTTCGTTTTCCGTCTTCCGGATTTCAAAATTCCATTTCAGCACAACTCTGGTAATGACAATGAGCAGGTAACAGAGTTAATTATTCCTTGAGATACTCGCTTGCAGACTGAAATTTTTTTAATTTAAATCACCAGCAAAGGGCCATGAAACTTACTTTCTAGCACATTTCTTCATGAGCGGTGCTTTGAACGTCTCATCTTCTTGTCTCACATAATCAAAGCCGACAAACAGATCATCGTCTTGAACAAAACATTCTGGCTTACATGGAGACTCTTCCGGTGCCATGCTAGTGAAAGCACTATCGAAATTCGAAACATCTTCTTCGTGAATATGGCAAGGCCTGAATGGCGGTTCCACTTCTCGTGCTTCCATTTTAAGCCAGTTAGTCTTCCCGAAAAATGAGTGACTCTTCGTTCCGGAGGCTCCGAGTCGTGTCTTCTCATTTCGATGTATGAGCTTTCTCAGAAGACTCTTCGCTTCCGGCGAGATGTTGTTTATCATGGGGAACTCTGCCTTCTTGATCAACATCATCGTCTTCTTGCGGTTCGATGTATAAAATGGAGAACATCCCGATAGCATATCATAGAGTAAAATACCAAGAGCCCAATAATCGGCGGCTCTTCCGTACTGTCTCTTCTCCAGAACTTCAGGCGCCATGTACTCGATTGTTCCGCAGAAAGTGTCCGTGAGCTCATCGTGGCCCAAATTCGCCTTGCAAAGACCAAAGTCGGTTAATTTCACATGTCCTGATTGATCGAGCATAATATTATCCGGCTTGAGATCTCGATAGATGACGCCATTGCTATGCAGGTGTTGGATAGCCAGCAGCACTTCTGCCAGATAAAATCTCGCCGCACTCTCCGAGAATTTGGTCACTCTTTCCAATCGCGCAAACAGATCTCCTCCCGAAATGTACTCCATTATCAAATAAAGTTTGTCGACAGTTTGAAATGCGTAGTGGAGTTCACAGAGAAATGGAGAATTGACATTCTCCAAGATATTCCTCTCGGCCATCATGTGTTCGACAAACTTTTCATCATCTCGGATGGTATTTTTCTTAATTGCTTTCATAGCAAACAAAGAGCCCTTGTCGCGGCCTGTTATTTTTCGGGCCTGGTAAACCTGAAAAGCTGCGTTGTAATTTTAAAAAAGTAAAAAATAGAACCTTACCTTTCCGTATCCTCCTTTGCCGAGAACTTTCAAGATGGCAAAATCTTCCGGCTTCATTTTAGGGTTTTCTTGAACACTTAGACCGTCCATCGCATCACTAACTTTTCCAACTTCAATACATCTGAAAAGTTAAATGCAAATTTTTTCGATCAATATTTGAAATAGGAAATAAAATGTATAACTATAAAAATCTTACTGCATATGGTTCTCTTGTCCGGCTGACATGATGAAAAATGCTTGTACTACGCGAGAACTGTAAAGACAAAGAGTAGGTAAGAAAGTAAGTAAGAAAAATCAGAAAGAAGAGATGTGAGGAAACGATTGATCGCGAAGACAAGTGGACGAGACAAGAGCAAATGACTCAATCTTATATATAATGATGAGCAGGTGCATCCATAATAGGTCTGCGATTTTCGATCGACATATTGTAGATGTGATAATGCGAAGACAGCATATGGGAAGGATGTTGCAAACGTGACGTTCTACTGGTCTAAGAAAAGTGCTCACGGCCGGAATGCCTATAGGAAATAAAAAATATAGATATAAAGTAACAATGATGAGCGTTAGTGAAATAGAAATGACAAGATTTGGGTTCGTTAGAGATAGTAACACACCAAGCTCTGCACACGGTCACATTCATTAATTTAAAAAAAACGGAGAATCATAGCTGTTACGGGCCGGGCGAGGACGTGATGGAAATTTTTACGCCTGGAAAAATATGTTTTGAGCACTTAATTTAATTTTAAACGGTTTTTTGTTCTTCAGATTTGGCAAATGTTCACATTATTTCAGTTAGCCGAACAAACGAAAATTTGTGGTAGATCAAACCCGTGAAACGCGAGCAAGTGCGCTACACTCCATCGTACCTTTAGTGTGTGCACCCTTGGTGTGCTACTATCTCTAACGAACCCAAATCGTGTCATTTCTATTTCACTAACGCTCATCATTGTTACTTTATATCGATCTTTTTGTTTCCTATAGGCATTCCGGCCGTGAGCACTTTTCTTATACCAGTAGAACGTCACGTTTGCAACCTCCTTCCCATATGATGTCTTCGCTATATCACATCTACACTATGTCGGTCGAAAACCGCAGACCTATTATGGATGCACCTGCTCATTATTATACATAAGATTGAGTAATTTGCTCTTGTCTTGTCCACTTGTCTTCGCGATCAATTATATCCTCTAATTTCAATGAAAAATCAAATCCATTTTTTTTCTTACTTCATTTTACCCCTTTTCTCTTTCACTTATTCAAATTTCAACCAAAAAGAATGCTTTTCAAAGATACGAAAGATACGTCTTTTACGTTTCAATATTTAAAAAAACTTAAATTAGGAAAATACAGGAAGAGAAGACAATGATAAATGTTCCTTTAACAGACAAGAAAGAAAAACGCTTTAACATGTGAGTTTATGTTAGCTGGAATAAGAAAAATGAACATTTTACCTTTGGTATCAACATTAGAAAGTAAAGTCAGCAATCAGTCAACGTGTTCCCATTCGTTCGGGGCAATGTGATTTCCCTGTTCCTCGGGATAGAAGTGATTGTGTGGGACCCATGTTTGACGCCCATAGGGCCCTGTTTCAACTGGATTCACCGGCCCGTCTAGACAAACAAAAGAAGGAAAATCAGGAGAAGGGGTTGTCAGGAAAGAAGGAACTGCAGAAGGATAATACAGTGGGTTTATGTTCAACAGTGGCTGGAATGAGTTGTGAGATTGAGGCAGAAGTGGTGGGGCAGGGGCATTATGATGAAAAGAGAAGTCGATATCAGTCGGGTTTAGATTATTCGGTGGAACTGGGAAATGAACAGATTTCGAATAAGTTATCTGACTAAAATGACGTTCAGAGTCCAAACGGTACTCGAAATTGTTTGCTTCGTTGGCTTTTTTTGACGGGGTCTCACAATATGAACTTTCAGAAGATCTCTTGCTAGTCGATGAAGACGGCTGTCTGCTCGGCGAATTTGGTTGGGCAACTTCATCTGAAAAAAGTGAACCATACTTGCTAAATATCGGTTTCAGTTCAAATTTCCTTGGAAGTACAGGCTGGCCGGGTTGGGCCAGGCTCATGACAATGTTCATCCCATCCAGGGCCGACCACAAAACACAAACTCACATGATTTATCGATTGGAACAGGCATATGTCCCTGGCTTGGAATTGATCCGGTCGTTGCACGACTTTGAAATGGGCGTAGCTGAAAAAAACTTGATGATTTCATTATATTATGTTCAGAGAATTGAGCTTACCATTTCCCTCACCCGATCGCTTCGGTGCAGTGATTCAGGAGAAAGTGGCGCCGCAATCAAGCTCTTCAGAATTGGAAAATCTTCGGATGTCTATAAAATAAATGAAACTTATGCGAATAGAGAAAATGAATTCACCTCTTTGTTTGCCTCATCCTGCTCTGCTATCTTAGTTTTTAGTACGTCTTCATAGGGGGCCCACTTTTCTTCCGACATCTTCTCTTGGTCGGAACTATCTCTCCAATCCGTTCTTAAATTACACTTATGTGCATAAAATGTTGAAATATTTCCTGGAATCTCCTGGTCAACAACAAATTGTTGACTAGACATAATGTTCAACGACTTATTCGCAGAAAAGAAATGTGGAAGGAGAGGAGAAAGAGTCTAATTGGCACACGACGAGGTAGACTGATATGCGCAGGCTGATTAGTTCATGCGAACACATCATTTCTACACCTTCTACGAAACGGATTGGATTTCGTGAGCTTTCAATGGAAGTCGGGCCCGACGAAAAGTAATTTTGAATGAGAAAGGA